ATTTGTTTGGGGGGGTTCACAGTCAAAAATAAAAAATATAATATCATTTTATCAGTGACAAAAGTGCACACATTTGTTTGGGGGGGTTCACAGTCAAAAATAAAAAATATAATATCATTTTATCAGTGACAAAAGTGCACACATTTGTTTGGGGGGGTTCACAGTCAAAAATAAAAATGTAGTAATTAAACAGAAATAACATACCTCACAGCTAGAAGTATTGAAAAACATAAGAACTAAGATTGGAAGTATAAACAACATTCAAATATAATTTATCTGTTAATCTTACATAGCAGCATATCAATTTCACAGAATCTTGGCACCTCACCAATTTTTTTCTTGCAACCGACAAGCAGTAACAGTATACGCATAATAAAACAGGAAGTATCAAGTCTTCAAATCGAGGTTTGAATATATATATGCTGGCAAGTTTTATGTGATGATGTTCTGAATGTCAAACTGTCATAATTTAAGTACTGAACTTGGTTTGTGTGTGTGCTTGTGTAACTTGAAGTTAAGGTTGTCTTTGATTTACCAACAGTCTCATTATCGTGCAACTTAAACACATTAAGTATACATCTTTTGAGATCAAAACTATCAATTTTTATTAAGCTAAATTTACTGGTAAACTTGCCTACTTTAACAAATATGATTATAGTTAAAACGTAACAATTTTCATCGACATTTGCTTAAAACTTTGGATAGGGGAAAGGTGGATGATTCTTTTAGAGAATGTCTTTAATCAGCTTAATATTTGACATACGAAATTGGATGTCACTTATATATTGTCACTTGATTATGTTTCTAATGGCCTATTTTTTTTACATTTGCATGCAATGTTCTCAAAAATTCAAAATATAATCAAATGTTCATATAATTCTATCTGTATAAAAAGAATAAAACTTGTTGAAAAGAATTCAGAGAAGGGGGGCTACCAAGATGATTTGTGATATGAAAGGATAATCTTATAAAGATAAATTAAAATCTCTCAATAACAAAATTAATTATGAAACAGAGTAAGAAGTGATCTTCATGAAGTTTACAAAAATACCTAGTAAATCAGTAGGTTAAAGGCCTCCGATTTCATTGTGCTGCATTTTGAAGATAAGAGGTCTAAAGGTTTGAAGACAGGCTCTAGTTCTAACAAGGTGGTTGGCTTAATGGACTGAGCTGCTGTCAGAACAAGTGAAGATTGGCACTTTAAGAAGGGTTTAAGATGGGAATCGATAATTTCTTGAAAGATGTAGTGTAAGTTGTAGTTTTATTTTTTCCTGAAGGGTGGGTGTGTAAAAGAAGAAGAAGAGCCTTGAAGGAAACATGAGGGAATCCTCAATAGCCATGGCACTTGAAATTCTTTTAGGCAAGATTAGAGTAAATTAATCTAGGAGTACTTTTTTTTTTTTACTTTTTATTGGCTATATTTTTGTGTGCCAGCAATATCAAGCATGTGGCATGCATATACCCGATTCAATTTTATTATTCATAAGGATCTTTACCAGACTACCCTCAAATTGAAGTTCTTTTAGGTAAGATTACAGTAAATTAATCTACAACACCTTGGGCATGGTTAAATACATCAATTGAGAGGGTTTGACCTCCTGAGTCCAAAACTGTAATTAGATCTAGATTTCAAATTGGTCAAGAAATGAAGGAGCTATGAACTAAAAGTTTGTTTCTGATAATAAAAAAAAAAAACTAACTCGGAGCCGTTCTATAAGCCGCTGCGTTACAGTCCCTCGTTATTCACGTGTTATATATATCATGTCAGTACACCCAGTTTTTTCTGAGAATAATTTCATTAGCAAGTTTATGGACAATCCTAATTAATTAATTTGGGATTCTAGTTGCTTAATCAATAGGATAAAAGGGCTTAAGTTCAAGATTTCAAAAATAGAGGTCAGCTACAAAAAGTATGATACTCGTATTTTTCTAAGAGATTGATAATTTTATTGAATGAGTTGCAACCATCAGTAGTGGAGGCTGGAACTTTGAAAGAGTTAAGAAGGAAAAAATTGATGGTTATCTGAAAAATAATGGATGGGTTTAAATATTTACTTTTCTCAAGGGTGGATGTGCAAGAACGGTCTGGAAGGACTTAAAGATACCTTGTCGTCCATTTCAAGTGTTTTACTATCAAGTTATAGTGATAAATAAACCAATGAACTTTTAATAATTTAATCAGATTAGTTGTAAAATTGAAAGTTCTAAGTTGTTTCAAGTCAGTTCTCATAAAAATAAAACTTGTAATGGATGAATTACCATGATATCCAACAAGTCATTTAAGCTTTAACAGCAAATCTTGTTATGTGGGAGACAAAGTCAAAGTGTTACCTTATTATTCACGGTATTTTCTTGATGATAATCACTGTGTATTAATACAAAAGATTAAAAAAAATTTTTTAAAGTTTGTGAGAAAAGCATTTCATATTGTGTATAAAGAGATCAATATCCATAACAAATCCTACATAATGAAAATACTCACTCTTGGAACAGGTGGTAAGTGTGAGCTCGTTCTTCCTGAAGGGAATAACATTGCTTCAGCACACTCAGTATGTCACCATTCATAGATCCCTAAAAAAACAATAATAGTACTATACGTGTCAGCATTATTAGTTAGACTTTAATGCTTTTATAAATCAATATTAAGGCTTCTGATTTTTGGTGTTTATTTTTTAAGCTATTTTGGAGTTTTATATAGCTAGCCTGAAATTTTTTCTTCTTCAAGGCTCTTGTTTTTTTATTTAAATATTGTACAAGACTATTTTTTTCAGCTTTTTTCCAAAAATTCTTCTCTGTACAGGGTTTAATTTGTATTGTATTTTTGTTTAACTTTTACTACCACTCAGTAGCTAAGGTGCATTTAAAATATTTACAAAGAATCAATGTTAGCTACAAGTCAGGAAAGAAGGACATTCAATAACTAAGTGTACTGGAGATGTTTTACTGATGTTTATCAGTTAAAATCAAAAATCAGAAGCTCTAGTCATACAAATGTTTAAATGTTTTACTTGGGTTTAATGATGTCATTGAAAGGGTAATTACTTACTTTTTTTGTTTTTATGCAAGATATTTTGACATTTTTTTTGTGGTATTTATGGAAAATATTCAATACTGTATATGTACACATCAATTCTGTTATCGTAAGGGCCAGGTGTAATGTGAAGAATACATAAAAACGTATGATAACATTATATAAAGAAACTGAAGTTTTCTTTATGTTTGTGAGAATACATATAATAAGCATTATTTTATGATAAAAAATACACTGTTCCTGGGTTTTCTACTACTTGGTATCATGTTTAAGAATAATCCAAACACATCAACAAATACTTGTAGTTCATTTCATTTTCAGTTGATGGTATTACTGTCAGTGAGGTATATCTTATAATTATAGTTATATAACAAAATTTAACAAAGGAAGGAACTCATAATTTTGTGTTTAAAAAAACTTTGTCACTGAAAAAAGAAAAAGCAACTAGAACCTTTTTTACAACTAATTAACCCACGTTATTTTTAAACTGTGCTGTGTACTGTACAAATTACAATAAATTAGGAGTTGAATTAAATTAAAAGTACGGCTTTTTTTTTCACTGAATAAAGGTCAACATCTGGTCTAATAGTAATATGCTTTCCAAAGAGATAACAATAACAACAATCATTTGTTTATAATAATAATAATAACAACAACAACTATTTCATAAATCTTTTATGTTATAGCAATGGCCTTAACGTTACATAACTGCGATAATTTAATGTCGAAAAATATGACAGACTATAACAGTATAAGAAGGCGAACAACAGGACGTATAGCTAACACAGTGTTGCTTTTTAGTTTTACTAGTTTAACCAATTATTTAAAAAATATATTAGCTGGTCACTGGTGTCGAATGTTAGAAATATATAACTACCTAAGAAATATTCAATATAATACATCATAATTTTATTAATTCACACCAATATTACTTACCATATTGTGTTATTTATCGTTAAGCTTTACAATAACAGAAATCGGACAGCAACGCTCCAGCTTTTAAGTAACACTTCCAATAAACTTTGGACCTCCAAGACTACCATTTGACGGAGTGACTCGTGGTGTCAGCGTTACTTAAATCTTTATAGAGTTCAGTGGTCTGTGTTTGGGTATTTCACATCACGTGATCAGTAATATTTTTGTTCCCTTAGCGACATGGCATGAGAAAATTTTGAACCTAATCTCTATGCTAATGTACGCGAATAGAAACAAGAAATTAGTTTGAAAAGTGTACTCAAGTTAATATTTATTTAGAATATTGATTCTTACCTAAAAATAAATTAACTAACTTTAAGATAAAACAGCGCAGGTTTACAAAGGTAATTTAGTGCAGATTATGTTTCTGCTTAAAACTTGGAAAGGTCTAACTTTCTTCAATTAACATTTTACGTTAGTTAATTAACTTGGCAATTACTTAAATTAGTTGCGTGCAACTAGAGACCTGGTGCACACCGTAGTTCCGGCACTAGTATTAGTAACTGATTGTATAATGTATAAGTATTTATAGTTAATAGGGAATTCTAGTGTTGATATCTAAATTGAGAAATAACTTCATTTTAGTTACATACGTAATATTAGGCAGTTATCTTAGTATCAAAAAACAGATTAGTAAACTTAACATGGTTAGAGGTAGTTCAGGGATGGGGTAGAATTTGATAGGTGTCAGGATTGGGTTATATTTGAGTTGTCGGCTGATTGCGACTTCCGGGAAGCTCAGAAAATTACAGTGCACTATATTTGAAGAACTGGCAAACATAAAGATATATTTGACTTATATAGCAATTGTGAATTATATTATTGTAAAATCTGCATTGATAAGTAAGTAACTTCACAGAAGATTGTACTATTGGATAGCGGAAATCGAGGAGTGAAGACAGGAAATGGCTGAAGTTAGTGTACGTAATGGTTGCTTTGGAGGGAGCTAGGGTAAAGTAAGTGCTAGTTTTACAAGGGTGCACACAGGAACGTCGAGAGCTAGCACCGG